GTTGCTGTTGCTGTTGCTGCGAAGTCAAGGGAGGCATACCGGAAACGGGACGTCCACTTTTGTTGCTAACACCTCCACCAACCCCACCACTTGACATGGAGTCTTGTGGAGCCTCACCTTGGCAGAGAGGAGCGTAGGAACTAGTGGCACCGCCAAAATACTGGTGATGCGGTGGTATTTGTTGCAATTGTTGTGGCGTGGAGGATCGAATATCAACCGTGGCATCACTGTGCGTTCCCTCCGCAGCCCCACCACTCAACGGAGTGTGCTTGTTTTTGTTGATGTTGCTGTTACTCCTCGGCAGCATTCGTGACGGTGATGACCAATTGAAATCACCAGTATGTTTTTCATGTGTCTGGTCTATGCTTTCGGCCCTTTCACTTCCATTATTGTTGGACCGGCCGTGGTCCGAGGGGGGGCGTACTGTGGCAGGCGACGCTTCGTGGAATCGCTCTCGTGGCGGTGCAAATATCTCCAGCGGCATGGTGGCCTTGGTGTGCGGCGGTGGTGGTCTCCTTACTGTGGTTGTCCTTCCCTTTGTCTGTCTCGTGTTCGGTATTCCACTCCTCCTATCCAGCACGAGGTTCTTCGCCGCTGTGGCCGTCCCTCCTCGCCGCAAGATGGTGCCATCAACACTACTACAAGGACTACTGCTATTACTACTCGCAGTAATAACGGCATTACGGCTGCCGTGCTTCACCCGATCCTCCGCGGCCTCACTCATTGCAAACAGCTGCTGCAACTCCACCGATCGCTCGACCTGCTGCCCCTCGGCCCGGCTCGTGGCGTCGTCCGACGAATTGTAACCACTGGTAATGCTGACGACAGATTGCGCCATTCCTCCATCTTGGATTGGCATGCACCTGGCCGCTGTCGCCGCAGCCACCTCCCCCGCGGGTTCCTCCTCCTCCTTCTCTTCCCTTACTATCGCCTGCAGCTGCGAGCTATCGTAGTTGCAGGCGCTACCGTTGCTCTTTGTCAAGCACGCCGCCTCCGCACACACCCCAGCGACGGGGGGGCCCTCTCCCTCCCCACGGCGCGTGGCAGATGGCGGCGACGGCGGCGGTGGTTGCACGCCCAACTCCGCGCAGTCCG